GAGTAAAATTTATCAGGAAATACAATTGTCTAAACACATTTGGTAGTCTGACATTTAGTTGTAAAGGCCTGATAGTAGGAGATTTAAAGCAATGGCATGAAATTCAGTCTATCCTTTCATGTGCTGCTCCAGGAACAAAAAGCCTGGCATTTGAATGGATTCTAAACCATTTTCAAACAAAAGTCAGAGCAATGGCTTTCTCCTATGAAATCCTGAATGATTGGGGGGGTGGACCTATTGGTTTCCTATGTCCATATGAGCTTCCTTATACATCCGGTCTCTGCAACACAGAGAGAACAACATCCTAATATGGTTCACTGTTCACGAAATCTAATCAAATCTCTATTGCATGTAGTTCCTAGCTTAATTCCCCAAATTCCAACCGGGATTTTTATTCCTTCTTATTTGGCTTTTGGCCACTCTTGGAAAATCACTCCAAAGGGAACAACAGAAAAAAATAAAATGTAGAGGGCCCCCTCCTCTTTGCAAAAGCCCTTTTTGGGTGGGAGAACTCGCATTCATGATCTGCTCCTTGGCAACTGATTTTCCCAGGATGCAAAGGTCTCTGCCAGTTGACTGCACTGATAATTCAGCTAAGTTTCCCCACCCCTTAACTCTTGTTGCATCTAAAGTCCACTTGAAATATAACTTCCCCTATTTCAGGGAGATCTGGGGGGGAGGGAAGGTGAAAAGGGAGATATGGCACCCACAACCATGCATGGGGATTCAACTGCCATCTATTTGTGACCATCATTATGGCTTTTTTGACCACCATCCTTCTTGCAGACTCCCTGGTTCTTGAAACTTCAGTTGGTCCCAACCCTGAAAGGCAAACATCAGTTATATTCTCTGGGGAATTGAGAGGGAATTGAACTGTGGGGCATTTTCAATTTACTGAAAAGCTGTTACAATCCTGACTGTGCTTCTTCTCAATGAGCAGAACAATGCACGCTTCTAAGAAATCATAATTTTTTAAAATTGTGAAATCTGCTTGAGGGAAATGCAACAGAGTTTATATGCAGGGCACAAAGACAGAATGACTATGCTTTATTTTGAGTAAAGAGTGCTGTACTCTTCAAGTCTTTCCTGCCATTCAAACTGCGAGTGCTACTGGCGTGAAATGGCCAAGGAAAAGGAAATGAAAGTTGCTTAATGGGAAACTTTGCTTCAAAGTGGGAAATCTGAACATGTGAGATAGGCAGAGGGAAAGAGAAGGGAGTGAACACCATCCCAGATTAAAAGAGCTGAGTAATTAAAATGCTTGTAAGGAAAATTAAAAAAAGGATGTACAAGAAAACAAGAGATTTGCTCTGCCAGCCCTAGAGGCTTATAGACCCTCAAGTTGCAATCCTCTTGCAATGTTATCTGGGAGTGAAGTTCACCTGGGCAAATAGGACCTCTGTCTAAATGCACAAAGGAGTGCATGAATGTGATTCAAGTGCTACAGAGATAGTGTGCTGTATGTTATTTGAGGACCAGAGAGAAATCTAAATACAAATTCATCCTCAGCCATGAAAGATCACTGGGTAACTTTGGGCCAGACTCTTCCCCCCATCCCCTTTGTCTATCTCACAGCTTGAGCTTCTGCAGGAAAGGCAAAATATATGGAAAGAAAGAAAGAAAGGAAGGAAGGAAGGAAGGAAGGAAGGAAGGAAGGAAGGAAGGAAGGAAGGAAGGAAGGAAGGAAGGAAGGAAGGAAGGAAGGGACCAATCATGCCTGGCTGAACCACATTATAGAATCCAAAATAAACATGAATAGAGGAATGTGTAGTTCAACCACTCAACGTTGCAACATGTCATAATCTTCCCCTAGTTTTGCTTCACAACAACCCTCAGAGAATTGCTGGGGAATGATGAAATGAAGAGGTACATGTAAAGTAACTCTAAAAGATAAAACATGGAAGCATAAGTCTGTTGTATATGTTGTGTTTGCCTTTCCGATAAGTGTGTTCCTATGTTACCAAGCTTTTCCTTAGGGAGGAAGCCAATTAGAACCAGCCAATTAGAATCAGTTTTAGTGGTGCCTAGACATGTACCACTAAAACTAATATAGCTAACAGATACACAGCTGATGTTATCCTTACCATGCACACCAGGGTTTGTTTTAAGGGCTCCAAATGAATCATAATCAGTGGTGCCTAAATAAAAAATGCTGTGCACTTTATCAAAACTGTTTATTGACCAGCAATGAAAAAAAAATTAAAACAGTGCAATACAGTAACAATCTAAGTACAGGATTCTAATGTGAATAGGAAATCAGAATCATGACAAGCTGTGCCTCTAATACATTTTTTTAATAAAATACCTATCATGTACTGTCTCATGTAATCCAAACCATGCATAGGATGCCAGATTGAGACATCTGTAATATGAATTGATATTCTATTTTAGAACACTCCTCACTTGTAATGCCTAAACCATTGTCCTGTTTAGGAAAAACTCTTGATTTTATCAGAATTACCTATGAAAAACATTATTTGATTATACTGCACTTTAATATAATTTATTAAAAATATAATCTATGAAAAATATCTGTTCTTCCTGAAGCAAGCCCTACTTAATTCAACCCAGGATTCACTTCCTGGAAAGAACGTACAGAATTACAATTGGCTCTTATGCAGAAGAAGCAATCCTGTTCACACAATTGATAAAGGCAGTAGCTGTGAACCAACATTCTGCAAACTTTTGATCAATTTTTCCATCTGAACAAAAAAAAACAACAACCCACAATCCAATCTTATTAATAATAAAGTCCAATTATTTTCACTGAAAATAAAACAGATATCCAGGTAAAATGTTGTCCTTTTTGTTCTCTATTTTCTTTAGAATCTTATGATTATGATTTTTATTAGTAGAAAAATACAGCATCTGAAATGGTAAAGGAAATGGCTTCTATCCTGTGTCTATACTAATGTGCAATATACTATATATTTAAAATGTATATATTTAATGAATCAAAATAAAAAAAATAAAACATATTAGTAACATTAGATCTGTAGGAAACTAAAAACAGAGTGCAGTTTGTGCTCACAAATGATAAATTAGGAAAAATGTTCACTATATTTTTAAAGGAGAAAATTGTATTATACTGTATATAATTTCAAAACATATTCTGAAAAAGTTTAATTTCATTAAAGATACTTTCTTTTTTAAAATTATTGTTTTCTATGTAGATTGACTTTAAAAAAGCAAATGAAAGAATGAGATGATGAGAATGAGAAAAATTGGATATAATCAAAATTTGGTTCTCATCTTGTGCATAGGATGGCCTTTTCTATTTCTACTTAACAGTTTTAAAGTTAGCAGTCCAGGCCAGAGAAAAATGCACCATGCCGTTTGAACTGTGTTAAAAAGGTCCATGAAGAGGTATGCACTCTGAGGTGCCTTCTAGAATGGATTTTGGTCACCGAAGCAGGAAAAATGGAGGAAACCTTGGCATTTCCCTATTCAACTGTTGACAAGCCATCCTTGATATAAAAAAGATAGACCTATCAAGATTTTGCAGTGATCCCTACTAATCATTACCGAAGTAGAAAATATAAACCATGGATGGCCCATGTTTGAAATGTATTTATTCATTAAATTTATATGCCACCCATCTCACTATCCAGTGTGACTGGGCAAAATGAGCACAGAGAGATATTTCTCACCGACATTGTGTGCAAAAGAAGTAGAAAAGGTGCAGCACCATTCAGAATGACTGGACATAAAAGGAATGAGAGAGATACTTTTTATATCCTTGCTCTTCACAAGTGTCACACTAAAATGACCCTATTATCCCTGTACTTATTCTGTTTGTGGATAACATGGAAATTTGGCAGATGTTTAAAAGAACCAAAACGGTGTAGCATATGGAAGAAAGGCAGAATTTAGAATAAAATTGCTATTCTGTCACATACAACAACACATGTATTTGATTGTTCCCTTACATCATCCCTTAATTTGGAATTCAAACACATACGCAAAAAAAATCATAGCAATTGTGTGCAATTACATTTTAGATGCAGCTTGGAGTTTTGCTCTGTTTTAGTCAGGCAAGCAAATTGTTCTGATCAAGTACTATATAAAGATAAACTCTCTTAAACAATTGATCAAAAGCTATAATAAACATCAATTCCAGAAGAAAGAAGTAAACAAAATTATATATATTACAATGCCTTTCTACAAAGCTGTGATGTGTTCATAGTAAGGACATGCATCATGCTAGACTATAGTTGAATTAACCATGGTTTATTGAACAGATAACATGTTCTCAACCATAAACCATGGTTTACAAGCTATAAGGCATGGCTTCATTCATCACAGCTGTTCTAAGCAGATTATATTATCAATGAAACAATACAAAATTTTACAATATATTTCTGCTGGATACCCACCTCTTTGGAACACTTGGAATGACTATGAGTGAACATTAGTTAAAGGGAAGTGGTCTTTGCAAAACAAATGTTTGTTGTCCCAACATTACCATCGCACTGATTGCATTCACTTTCTTCTTACACATAGCACCCTACCAGATATAATCAGGGCTTTTTTCCTCATAGAACGCCCAGAACGGAGTTCCGGCACCTTTTTTGGATGGAACCTTGTAGGGTAGGCAAGGCGGGTTGTATGACGTGTGTGAGTTCCGGCACCTTTTTTTTTTTTTTTTAGAAAAAAAAAAGCACTGGATATAATTATTCATATAAAATTATATAAATAATGAACAAATTTGGGTTTTTTTAATCTACATTGGGATTTGAAAGTCTTGTAGGCAAAATTATTGTTTAATGTTGAAATGTACATGGGTCTTTCCCTACCTATGTGAAGTCCATGCTTTCAAATATAAGTACTCTCTTTCTTGGTTTAGCATTTCTCTGAAGGCACATGGACTGAGCTTCAATAGTCATAAGAAAGTCTCAGAGATTTACACTGCAGTTTTTTCCTCAAGCAATACTATTAGGTTTATGTGGAAAGGTCAGTGCAAGCATCTTTGGTTGCAACTTCTTACACTACAAATTAAATTCATTTTTCTTCCAAGAAGTTATATAAAATGGCCTTTCTGGTAAATAATCCAACTGAAAGGAAGACATGCTTGTTGAGTTTCTTCATCCAAGCGAAACTGGCACAAAGTACAGAAACTGTCTTCAGAATGTTGGTCTCTGGGAGTTAAAAAGAAAAAAAATGAAAAACCAGTTAAAAGGATCTATGCAGCTTGATTATTTTCATTTAAAGTACCCCTTTAATTCCTTTTTCCCGTTTCATCACAGAATATTCAGACCAATTTCTATAGAGAAGGTATAGAATATATAAATAAATCTACAACAAGAGAAGAGATAACACTGTCCCATAGTTGCCTCTTACCTACTTAATTCCCAGAATCCCTGTTTGATGCAAATGCATGGCTTTAAGCAATTAAGTTTGGGTTTTTGATCAAAAATGAACTGAAACCATCAGTATTCATAAGGGAGCAAAATTCATGAAGCGCAATGGAGGTGTCCATAAGAGTATTTGGTGTTGATTATTTTTCATGTTCCAAACCTTTTTCTACCTCATAAACAATGCTGCACTTAGTGGCCTAACTAAACTACTACTCCCAACTGATTTTACAATCTGACTGTATTTTCAATATAATGCTAGAAAAGTAGCACGAGTAAACTTTGGATTCATAAACTTCCTTCTCATCTTTTTGTACATCAGTCTAGTGGAAATCAGAAGCGTTGTATTCCTTTTCAACTAACTGAGATTTGTTGTTATCTGTACCATTGAACAACAATGCTTTGCCTTAGGTTGTGTTCTGGGGAAATTAGCCAATTTCAATTGATTCTGGCTTACTCATTTAAAATCAAGATAAAAAGCAGAGACAGAATAATAAAAGTTGGAAAGAATCCTATACCATTCCAGACAAGTGGTTGTCAATCTCTTCTTGAAAACCTCCAATGATAGAGCACCCATAACATCTGAGACTAGATTCAAAAATGTGGAACCGAAATAAGATCAATGTAAGTGTGAACTCAGTGTCCTGGTGGGATAGCTTCTATAATCACTCTGCTGTAACCAAGAAGGCCCTGTTTCCTTTTTAAGCTCACATGGAACATAAAAAGTATTTTCTGTGTATCTTAATATTTGGCTAGATATAAACAGGAAGATGTATTTCCTGAAATACCGAATAACTGCAGTAGGTCCAGTTTTACCATGTACAATTAAATTAACTATAATTAATTAAAAATGGAAAATGAGTTTATTGAACATGAAAAGGATTTTTTTCTGATCTTTCTGAGGAGGAATTTCAAAGGGGAATAATGCAACCTCTACTGTGGCTAGGGCACAGGTATGAAATAAATAAAAATGGTATTAATCCTGAACCCACCTATAATAACTTGTACTCTGTAATACATAGAAATGATATAGAATTATAAAAATGTTTCTCTACAAGAAGAAATGGATTTGTTTTCAGATTAAAAGCACTCGTGTTTTATGATACTCTATTCTAAATGGGAGCTTACCTTCCTATGCCTTCTGGTCTGGAAGAGACGGCTTCTGAACTCCAAAAGCAGTGATAAATATATTGACAACTACTATAATAAACACCAGTCCAGTGGCAAGGTTATTGAGAAAGTCCAGTTTGGCGTGTTTTGCAGGATTATTAAGGTCATATTTAACTAGAAGAAAAGAACAGTGAAAGAGATTATATTCTCACTAATGAGCAATTTACTTTTAGAGATGAAAAGGTTAGCTTGAGGAAGTAACATTTCAAAATTGCATGCCAAAGAGATTTCTGTGTAATTAAAGAGATGTGCACAAATGATTATGATTCAGAAGCGTAAAAAAAACCCCCTAAACTATCTGCTTTTCCCTGACTCCCATAATAGGCATTACAGGTAGTTCTCAACTTAACAACCACAACTGAGCTCAAAATTTTCATTGCTAAGCAAGACAATTGTTAAGTGAGTTTTGGTCCATTTTATGAACTTTCTTGCCACAGTTGTTAAGTGAATCACTGCAGTTGTTAAATTAGTAACACACTTGTTAAGTGAATCTAGCTTCCCCACTGACTTTGTCAGAAGGTTGCAAAAGGTGATCACATCATAATTACGTGCCAGTTGCCAAGCATCTGAATTTTGATCACATGACCATGACCATAGGCAGGGGTAGGCAACCTTGGCTCTTTTATGACTCATGGACTTCAACTCCCAGAATTCCTGAGTCAGCTATGCTGACTCAGGAATTCTGGGAGTTGAAGTTCATGAGTCATAAAAGAGCTGAGGTTGCCTACCCTTGATCATGGGGATAGGACACAAAGATTTACATAATAAGGCTTAAGTCATTTTTTTTTCAGTGATATTGTAACTTCAAATAGTTACTAAATGAATGGTTGTAAGTTAAGGATTACCTGTATTAACCACAGGCTGTGTTTAGAAAGTGAATGAGAAGAAATCTTTTCTATTTGGGGGAATAAAAAATTAAAAAAAAACATTTGCAAATTTCCAAAGATTTCTTGTCAGGGCTGAAACAGAAATATAAGATTTTTTTTGCTGGTACTTCTCATAAAACAACGAAGTCAAAGCTAAACATCTAGCTGACATAGGACACAAAACACTATTACACCAGTCAGAAGAACCTGTGGCAATGAAGTGGAGCAAACAGAAAACCTAAAGCTTTCTCTCAAATCCCAGTTGTTGGGACTGGAGCAGCCAAGGTAGTCTAATCTCAAGAGTCACCGCTTGGTCAGTGAATCCAAATTTCAATATGTCTGTGAATTAGACAAATTCCACATTAGGGATTATTTCACAAAGTAAGTGAAAATAGATTCAGAATTATCCCGTTCAACTTTCTGAAATAGGCTTTGTCCAAATCTTGATGCAGTGTTCTTCTTTTCTTCTATTTCTTTCCTATAATTTATCTTATATTTTTATGTTATAAATTTATATCATATTTGTATGTATTTATTTTTCCCTTAGAATTCCAACTTGGCCTTTAATTTCCTATAGTTTAGTAGTTCCCAAGCAATCTGAGTATGAGGATCCTTTTTAACCTCAAAAAAACCTGTAGATTTACATATGGTAGTAGTTATACTTGGTATATATTATACTACTAGCTGTACCCGGCCACGCGTTGCTGTGGCTCAGTCTGGTAAAAGCGTATGTTGCTTTTACGTCCAACAGATGGTGCTGTTTTTCAAAAAAAGCATGTTTTTACCTGTCACAGGTTTGACATCTATATAATATAGGTATATAAAAACACATGCGTATTCGAATGCAACGTTGTGTTAAAATTTCAAAGCAATCAGTGAAGAACTTTTGGAGATTTAAGATTTTGAACAAACGAACATTTACATTTTTATTTATATAGATGATATACCATTATCACATGGTCATAGTTATATTTCAATCAACCTACTGACTGAAATAAAATACAACAAACACTGAATTCAGTGGTCATAAAAACACCATTACGTGGACTGCATTTATCAATCAGAATTATATCTTTACACAATTGAAAAAACAATATTCTATATATGTGTGTATACTTATTCAGTCTACCATTATTTTCCTCTCCAGGAGTGGAAAACCTTTTGTCAGCCCTCTAATCCAACACTGAAACTGCACTATCTCCACTTTCTTTTCACTCCTTCTTGCTCAGACTTATTCAAAGAAGGATAAAGAAAAGATGCCGGGATGTCTGCATGCAATGCTTAAGGAATAAATCAATCACACCCTCAAGGCCAACATCTTGAATTCTTTGGCCATATACTGCTGACAACCCTGAAATAAATTGATTTGTTTTAAAGGACCAAACCTCCCTCCACTTATTTTCTGATTTCAGAAATGAACTTCTTCGTGGATACTCAAGGGAGCAATCTGCCAGGCTGTACTATCATCAACTCCTTTACTTGATTGTATTTTCCCCGGGACTGTGCTACCTTGGAGCAAACCCAGAAAACGGTGCCAACATGTATGATGAGTTCTCCTCCTCCCTCCCTCTGCCAAGCAACTTCCCCACTTCAGATGTGAATCTCAAATCCCAGGACTAGGCAGATTTTCCAAGCCTCTTCACGAGACAATGCCTCAGTTTCCCTCCTTCTGAAGAGTTTTGTTAATCCCCCCCCTCTTTTGACTATTTGCTATGCTGTTACAGTATGCCGTACTTTCTTGTTAATATTATTGCTATAATGCAGTGGTTCTCAACCTGTGGGTCGGGACCCCATTTGGGGTCGATCGACCATTTCATGGGGGTCGCCAAGCAAGGCTGTCCACCATTTTTTTTGTCCGCCATTTTTCCCCCTTTTCCGGCGGGTGCCTTACCTCCCTTGGGCTGGGGCAGCTGGTGGTCGGCCTGCTCCGTCTCTGCCGCTTGCCAGGTACGCCTCGGCCAGCGCAGGAGGCGGAACCACGCATGTGCGGTGCTCCCGGGCAGGGAAAGTCCTCAACTTACGACCGGTTTAGTCCTCGACTTACGACTGGTTTAGTCCTCGACTTACGACCGGTTGGGGTCGCGGCATTAAAAAGGTTGAGAACCACTGCTATAATGGTATGTTTAGAATCTCTGCCTCTATTCAATGAATATTCCACATTTTAATTTGGTTATTTATTAAAATTTATTTTATTTTAAAAACAACATTTATAGGAAATACAGATGGGAATCCCCATGACTCATTTAGTTCTACCTCAAGCTGAGAATTTCTTTTCTTTGTTCCATTAAACAACAGACGTCCCAGCACTGTTGTCCCTGAGAGTCAAAAGTGCATTTTATATAATAACAATGGCAACTAGGGCCACTTTGAGATAAAGGACGAATTCTGTTCATACCTAACCCTTGGAATCCTAGCCTAGCCATGGCACCTTCTTCCTGTTGGAAACCACAAGAGCTAAAAAGTGGAAGTAAGTTTCATGAAATTCAGAAGCATAAACATGAGAGAGTCGCCATTCTTACACAATGCATTTTCCAAGAGCTTGCACTGCAGTTAGATTAACACATTCAGGTTTTTTGGAAAGGAACATCAACTAGTGCAGTAAGACGCTTTCAAATTAAGAAATTTGTCTGGTTTTAGAGCTGGTATATGTAGTGATTTCTTCATAGCAATGGAGATATGGATTTTTTTTAATGCAAGTTTCTGTATGAACAAAGCTGAATTCTAAGATTTCAGAGGGAATTACAAATATACGGAACTTGAAACTGTTTTTATATATGGGAAATGTTAAGCTTTTATTAGAGCAATTCCTCTCATTTTGTGTAGTTTAAACTATTCATTTCCACTTTCATTTCAAAAAGAAAGCTCTTGCAATTAATATAGGGCTTTTTGCAGGGACATCTGGGGGCAATTAAAAAAAATCAAGTTAATAACATCCTATCCCTTATTTTTATATCTGTCACAATGCACATAAAAAGGGGGCAGATCTTTGATATCACTGGCACAGCTGCCATCCTAAATGTTTCTGACACACACACACCCATGCCCCTGATTTATAGTGCACACTTTCCACACACTCTCAACTCAAATGGCAAATCTTTCATTTGTGCTATTCCTTGTCTTTCTTTAAATATTAATCGGGGCAAGGAGTCCTGAGATTTTCAAGTAGGCTAAAGTTCATTTGATCTCATGAAGACAGCAAAGAAAATCTGTTCCTGTCCTCCTCCTCCTGTTTTTTCTCAGCCTGTAAAATAGGAAAGCTGAGAGATATAAACTGTTCCCAGACCTCACAATCTAAAAGACAGAAGAAAATAGGAAAAAAGAAACATATAATCCAACTGCAAGAACATGTACTTGGAACATGATCAAAGGAAGCCACTGTGGAAGGAGGAACAAAAGAGGCAGAAAAAAACCACTCTGGTAGTTAAGCTGACAGCTTCCTTCCTCCCCCTTTTTACCCTACAATTTACAGGACTATTGACAAGCCAGTGTCTTCTAAACAAAGTAACCAAGAAACAAAGCAAAAGAAGAAGCTACCACTGTATATTGGAGCCCGCTCAACATGATAGCGCAGAACAATCAATGCAAGAAACATCATTCATATGATCTTTCTATCAGTATGACCAAAGCTTAAAGATAACTATGTCAATTGTATCAATCTTCCATGCTTAACTGGCCTTTGCACCAGGAATTTCTTTCACCAAGAGCCTGTTGGGGCACAATGTTTCATCCCTATAAAACTCCTTCTCTTCTCGAGATATTTTTCACTGGATATTCATAGAGTATTCAAAATACATGTTTCACAGAATACATTGGTGTGGGAAAAGCATCTTTCCTATAAGTATTAAAGCAGCCATGTCTGACTTCCGGTTCCGGTACGCGGCGACGCCGGTCATGTCTGGGGACTCGTCTCCAGTCCGGCTGGGTTTTCTGCATCGGTAGACCCCTTAGTGCAGTGGTGGCAGCACTAAGGGTGCCAGAGGCGGCACTCAGAGCCCTCTCTGTGGTGTCGTCGCCCCAGTCCTAGGCCTTCAGCTGGGTTTTATAAAACCTTTTTGCTTTAGGCCTCTGCCATCATGTACAAAAAAAAGAGGTTCAATCAATCAGTCAATTTCAACTTTTCGTGGGAAAAAAAAAGATCTTGCAAAGTTGGAATTGATTGATTGAACTTTTTAGTCCCACTCAGTCTGCTGTTACCACCGCAGCCACGCCCACCCAATGGGCCACACCCACCCAGCACCCAACGATGCA